AAGAAAAAGGACATTATGAGTGCTAAAGTGGCAAAAGGCGTATCAATAATCACGCAAAATAGAACACAAACACTCGAGGATGTTTAACAGTTGTTATTAATTTGGATACACAGCAAGGATAGTGTTTCAGAGGCTATCATTTGTGAAAGGCAAGAAAATTGCATGAAGATCTTTTAAAGAAAACCCCTGGAACGAGTGATGCAGAAGCGAAAGAGTTTAAGGCGAGCAGGGGATGGTTTGAGAAATTTAGAAAAACAAGTGGCATTCATAGTGTTGTGAGGCATGGAGAGGCTGCCAGCTCAGACAAACCAGCGGCTGAAAGATTCATTGGTGAATTTAAAGATTTTGTGCAGATTGAGGCATACCTACCACAACAAGTGTTTAATTGTGATGAGACAGGGCTATTCTGGAAAAGATTGCCGAAGAAAACATACATTACCAAGGAGGAGAAGTCATTGCCCGGACACAAGCCTATGAAAGATCGGTTTACTCTTGTGTTGTGTGGTAATGTGAGTGGCGATTTGAAAATTAAACCCTTGCTTGCTCCGAAAATCCAAGGGTTTCCAAAAATTATAATGTGCAGAAACACAAAATGTGTGTGTGATGTAGAAAGACTAGGCAATTTTTTACGTAGTGGGTGAATGAGGTGGTGTGCCCGGCCATCAAAAAATATTTGCAGGAGAACAGTTTGCCACTCAAGGCCCTGCTTCTCCTCGACAATGCTCCTGCCCATCCTCCAGGCTTGGAGGATTCATTGATGGAGGAATTTAGTTTTGTTACAATAAAGTTCCTTCCTCCCAACACCACTCCTCTACTTCAGGCTATGGACCAGAAAATCATTGCTAATTTTAAGAAACTTTATGAAAGGGCACTTTTCTGGAGATGTGTCGAAGTGACGGATGCCACACAACTCGCCCTCAAAGAGTTCTGGAAAAAACATTTTAACATTTGTAGAGCTTTAAAACGCGTTGACAAAGCCTGGCAAGAAGTGACTTGATCTCTTAAGTCAAGAGATCATGATCTCTTAAGAACCATGATCTCTGGCTAGAGAAAATTGTGGCCTGAATGTGCTGCAGAATGACACTTTGAGGGGTTTGAGCCTGAACCTGAAGTGCCTCTTGTTGAGGAAATTGTTTCTCTGGGTCGGGAATTGGGTTTGGAGTTGGATGGTGCTGATGTGGAGGAGTTGGTGGAAGAACACAACGAAGAACTGATCACCGAAAAACTCCAAGCCCTTCAAAAGGAGCAGCAAGAAGAAGCAGCTGAGGAAATTTCTTTAGGGGAGGATGTGCCAATACAGAATGTCCCTTCCTCAACAATTAAGAAAATGTGTGCAGCATGGGAAGAACTGCAAACTTTTGCTGAAACGACTCGCCCAAATCAAGCTGCAGTAGGCCGTTGCCTTAACCTATTCAGTGACACTGTAATGCATCACTAAAGACAAATGTTAAAACGAAGGGAAAAACAAGTCTCTTGACATTTTTAATGAGACAAAGAAGCAGTGAACCACAACCAGGTCCTAGTGGTATGCAGGCATAGGAGAGAGAGCACCCCAGAGAAAACATCACTGCCTGATGTGATAATGGAAGGGGACTACCCTTCCAAACAGTAACACCTCTCATCCTCCCCCCTCATCACCATCTTCCATATGTCATCAAGAGTCCTCCATAAAGGTAAGATAAACACATTACTCTACTGTAGTTAGAAAAAAACTTTGTATTCAGTATAAAATGTATTTGTAAGTTAATATTTTGGAGGGTGGAGAACGGATTACAGTACTTCAATTCCCTTTATTTCTTATGGGAAAAATGACTTCGACTTACGATATTTCAACTTACGATCCGTTTCTGGAAACGAATTACCATTGTTAGTCGAGGCCCCACTGTATAGGTTTTCAGTATAGTTTACTGTAAAATAAATCGTCAATAGGGCATTTGAAATATGCAGCAAATTTAGACCAAAAAAATTATAACTCCAAATGTATAAAGTTTATGAAAAATCCATTCCGACAGGATTGTAGAACAGACAGCTGAGCACACAATATGTCAAAATAGTGAGAATCAGTAAAAAACTGGAATTTTAGAAGCCACTCAAAGTTGAAACTCTAGTTTCAGAGATAATTAAAGTTGAAGTTATCAACAATGAATACAGGTAGTTTTAATTCGTGATTTTAATTGTATGTTTTAATAAACATTGTTTGGCATTCGTACTCAAATATGTGAAACTTGTAGGTCAATATGTCACGAAATGAAGTCAAGAAAAAAATAACCCTAAAAAAACACAGAATACAGTATAGGGATAATTATAATAATTATAATGATTTAGGGGATATATTTAACAGTGTCGCTTGCTTTGGACACCGATCACGTCCATTTTTTTTCTCTTGAGTCCTAGCTACGAACAGGACTCACGTCCACTACAAAAATATTTGTATAAAATTCATTTTTTATCTGATCGACCTCGGGATAGTTTCAAAATAAGCACCTTTAAAATGCGCACAATTTGATACCAAAATGAAAGATGTAAAACAAAACTTGATGTCAGAACACTTGAAAAATTATAAATACGTTTTTGGATCTAAATTTTAAATTTTAAAATAATTGTTAAAATTTTATTTATTGTGCTATTATTATGGGACTAGTTTTAAAATGCGCGCCTTTATATTGCGAACAATTTGATACCAAAACGAGCGATGTAACATGAAAATTTATGTCAGAACACTGGAAAGATATAAATAATTTTGATGATGAGCGTCCAAAATTAAAATATGTTAAAATTCCAGTTATTGCTCTATTATTATGAGACAAGTATTAATTAAAATGCGCGCCTTTATATTGCGAACAATGTGATACCAAAACGAACGATGTAACATGAAAATTGATGTTATCAAACTGAACGAGTATATACATTAGGTTGTGGTGTGCAAATTGGTGCTCGTTCATGGGTAATTTTAGGCTTGCTGTGGGGAGTCTCGCCAGGCTTTTGGACATTATATACATATACATCTGCAGGGAATTTAATTGCGAACACAGTGATACTAAAACGAACGATGTAGCACGAGAATTAAGGTGAGAAAACTGAAACGAGTATACACATTTAGGCGTCGCCGCACGTTCGCCCACACCGTTACCCCCGTGATGTCAAAGTCTGTGGCGCTCACGTGGTATGGGCGATAGTGTTAAGGTATACTTTATATAAGTGAAAAAGCCCTAATATGGTCCCTAATCATCAAAACAACCTAAAGTGACAAAGAAAATAGTTTGAAATCATTGAAAAACATCAGTCAAAAAAATTAAGTCCCAAGTTTTGCAAGTTGTGACTGATTTATTTGTTGACCAGATCACACACTAGAAAGTGAAGGGACGACGACATTTTGGTCCATCCTGGACCATTCTCAAGTCGATTGTAAATGGTTCAGGACGGATCAAAACGTCGTCGTCCCTTCACTTTCTAGTGTGTGGTCTGGTCAACATTTTTCAGCCACGCTATTGTGACTCATTGTTTACACTGATTTATTTGTTGACCAATTTCATTCTATCATCACATAGTTAGGGAAACATATGCACTCTCCAGGATATAAAGGTTACAACAAAATCAGATAAAAAACAAAGGAGAAAAAAGCTAAAATCTTAAAAAAAAAATTCCCCTAAAAAAATATTTTTGGCACATTGATGAAAGTATCATATAACATTGGACAATGTATTTATATGATATATAACAAAATAGAGCATATTAACATAGTTATTCATTATTATTTGTGTTATTATGTATCTCAGCAATGATATAAAGGCATCAACAGCATATCCACTTTGTGGACACTGCTTACTACTATTCTTCTTTGAGCATTGGACAGGTGCTTGCATCTCTTTATTGCTGCATAATCCTTCAGTTCCAGTTATTAGGAGCTGTTCTCCTTATCAACAAAACGTTCTTATTTTTTTTTAAATTTGTCTAAAATCAATCTCTGAACATATTTTGATGAAAGTTTCACGATACTGAAGCCAAAACGTTGGTGATTTGTTTAACATTTTTAAGTTATTTTTACATAATTCAAAAAAATTTTGCTACCAGGGCCCCCAATATGCGCAGTAATATGCGCATTCTAAGGGCTGATGATAAGAAGGTAGTGATCTAATTGTATAAATCTTTGGTGCACTCCAATTTGGATTACTGTATCCAAGCATAGAGACCACATCTTCAGAAGGAGATAGCTGCTGCTGAGAAAGTACAACACCAGGCAACAAAAATCCTTCCAGAGCTAAGTCAACTCATGTATGAGGAACAGTTGAGGGCCACAGGGCTAACAACACTGCAAACCAGGCACGACAGGGCAGATCTCATTGAAACTTTTAAAACAATGAACAATTTGGAGGATGTTGATCCGGACAATTTCCTTAAAAGATCAGATGTGACACGAACAAGGAGCAATGGGTTCAAGCTCAGCAAGCCACAATGTAGACCTGAGAACAGGAGATGTTTTTTTCACCCAGAGGGTTGTAAACCCATGGAACCGCCTACCTGCCAAAGCCACAAACGCCAAAACTATTACATTTTAAAAGCATAACTGGAAAAGATCAAGGCAAATAGGGGAACCTTTGACAAGCCACCACCTTCCTGTCCTCGTCGAGGTAACTAGTATTAGTGGCCCCTCAGATAAATTCAGATAAAATTCTACCTTATCAACATACCAAAGTACCTAGAATTTATCACTGTCAATCATCATGTTCTTTTCCATTGCCCAATTGGAGACTTTATTGATATGGTCTTATGGTTTACACTAACGACTCGTGACTGCAGTAACAATAACTAAACACAGCTAACGAACGGCCCAGACCTCAGGATCAGCAACAAAAAGACAACACCCATGTCAAATAATCTTGCATTTTAAACAATTTCTACTCAATACCACATCACCTCAAAACTCAAACAAGTCCTTTTTCACTTTACTTTATTTCACACGTGCTGAAAGCCAATCCCAAGGGCGGAATTGATATAATCACCTAAAAATAAGGTAAATCGATGCAGAGGTATGAATCAGCAGGAGAGGAGTGATCGCTTACACCCGAGGACGCCCCGCTATGCTCACTATAGAAAACGGTAACGTTATAATTTTAAATATATTAATAATAATAACAATAGTAATAATATTTTATTTAGGAAAAGTACATAAATAGATGCAGAGTTACAAACATGTTTTGTAACATGTTAGCTCCATGTTTTCTTAATGTTGCCCTTAATTTGGGTAAATTTATTTTCGTAGTATTTTATTTTGGTTCTTCTAATTATTTTAGACAGCATTGATGAGTAAATTTTTGAAAATTCTTTCGAAATGATTCCTAACCTATACTTCTTCTCAAGGTCATGTTTTTTATTAATAGATTTAAGTATACTCTTTGTAAGCCATGGAGTGTTTTACCTTTTATTTGTAACTTGTTTCATTAGCATTGGACAGTGGGAGTTTTAAAGATTCAGAGTTTTCTGAAGAAATGTTTGTACTGCTAGGTTGATGTTCACTATGTCACCTAATTCAGCCTCCCAGTTGATGTGAGCAGCAGCAGCAATAAAGTTGCTCATAGAAGTTTCATTGTGCAGCCTAAAGCTTATCTTCCTTGTATCTAGAGGTGGTTTATTAATGTTGGTTAGGAGAAATCAGGGGTAATGGTCTGTGGTCCTATCAATGATTATCCCTGAAGATTGATTGATTGATAAAGATTAAGCCACCCTAGAGGTGGTTTTTTGACCAGGAGAGTAGCTGTGTTGATAAATAAATAATAAATAAATAAATAAATAAATAAATAAATGTTTATTCAGGTAAAGTACATTCATACAAGAGGTTTTACAAAAATTGATATATTTATAGATAGAGCTAGTACATACAATGCCTAAAGCCACTATTACGCAAAGCTTTTCGGGCAGGAAAAAACATTAAAGACTAAAAATTAATATACTAATTGAGATTAAAGTATAGAGTATGGCTTCAGGGTGGCCACTGTAAGATTCAGGGACACTTAAAGCTCTTCTAAGGTCGTTGGTTGCTTCACATTCCAGAAGATTGTGAAGTTATGACTTTTCTGTGACAGTTTGGCAGATGATGCACTCTCTATCGGGGTTCACCAATCTCCCAGTTGCATCTGTAATTTAGACGTAGTCTATATAACCTAACTGCTATTTCCCTGTGGATTCCTTTTGGGATATTTAACCTTTAGAATTTGGTTGCCTAAAGATACGATATTGCAGAGGGCGAATTCCCTTCAGCTACTCTCTGGTGTAGATAAGCTTTGTTGAGGTGTGAGAGTTTTTTGGTGATGATGTTTTTTTATGTTCTCTAGGCTGGGTTGAATTGTTTTATGTATCACTTGATGACGAGTTGCCAATTTAGCAATTTCATCAGCTTTCTCATTTAATACTGAGCTAAATAAAGTACATCACTGGCTAACTGCCAACAAACTCACCCCTCAATATTGACAAAACTTTCTATATTTTGTTTGGCAATAAATCCTCAAATCAAATAAATCTCAGGATTAACATTACCCAAATTTGTAACAAAGTAGATGGTAAATTTCTTGGCGTTCTCATTGACAGCAAGCTGAATTTCCAGGGACACATTCTAAATATATCAAAAAAAAGTTTCAAAAACTGTTGGCATTCTTTCTAAGATCAGATATTATGTACCTCGCCCTGCCCTGGTGACACTCTATTACTCTCTCATCAATCCTTATCTCAACTATGGTATTTGTGCTTGGGGTTCTACTACCCAAAATCATTTACGTTCTCTAATTACTCAACACAAATTAAGCTGCTATTAGGACAATATCTAACTCTGGCCCCAGACATCACTCGGTACCCTTACTCAAATCTCTCAATATGCTAGATATTAAGTCACTGCACATCCTCTGACGTATATTTTATATATATAAAACGCTGAACTGTAATGTCAATCCTGTCCTTAAAAGCTTCCTAGAAGGTTGTAACAGATCCCATGAGCAACACACCAGAAACAAATGCCTATTTGATATTCCAAGAGTACGACTTAGTCAAACTTTTAATGCTTTACAAATCAAGGGACCTCGAATGTGGAATGACCTTCCCAATTATGTTAAAGACGGTACCTCTCCCAACCAGTTTAAGATAAAAACTAAGTACTACCTAATTAACTCAACAGTAAAATGGGTACTTGGTTGTAAAAACTCTTCTTCGCAGCAGGGATCGTATTCCAGGGATCTGCCCGAAACGCGACGCATACTAGTGGCTGTACAAGAATGTAACAACTCTTGTATATATCTCAAAAAAAAAAAATCAATAGCAGTATCAGTGGCTGAAAGCAGACCATCGTTATTGGACAGGATTATTGGTTTGTTATTTAAAATCTTTTTTGATCCCAATATTTGTGAAATTGTGCTCCATGTTTTCTTGATGTTGCCCTTTGTTTGAGTAAATTTATTTTCGTAGTATTTAATTTTGGCTCTTCTAATTATTTTAGATGGTAATGATGAGTAATTCTCTGAAAGTTCTTTGGAGACGATACCTAACCTATATTTCTTCTCAAGTTCATGTTTTTTTATTAATGGATTTAAGTATCCCCTTTGTAAGCCAAGGATTGTTTAGCCTTTTAGTTGTGACGTGTTTCGTTAGCATAGGACAGTGGGTGTTATAAAGGCTGAGAGTTTTTTGAAGAAAAGATTGCACTGCTAGGTTGATGTCCCCTATGGTACCTAATTCGGACTCCCAGTTGATATTAGCGGCAGCAGCTATAAAATTGCCTATAGAAGTTTCATTGTACAGCCTAAAGCTTATCTTCCTTGTATCTAGAGGTGGTTGTGAATGTTGGTTAGGAGAAATGTGGGGTAATGGTCTGTAGTGCTATCAGTGATTATTCCTGAAGTAAGCGGAGAGGTTATGTTGGTCCAGATGTGGTCACTAGCTCTCCAGAATTGTGACACTAGCTCTCCACAAGTGTCAGTTGCTTAATTTAAAAACTGTACTTGTGGTTGATCTCGAACCCATTGTTGATGTGACGACTTATATTGAATTTTGTAACTAGCTCATCAAGATTGTAACTTGCTTAGCTAAATGAATTGTGGGGTTCAGTCCCTGAGCCCATTATGTGCCTCTGTAACCCTTTCCACTACCGCCCACAAGATGGGTATGGGGTGCATAATAAATGAACTAAACTAACTAACTTCTAGGAAGCTTTGAATGTCTGGATTGACATCATCAAAGTGTTTGCTTGGAGATCTTACATTCAAGTTAATTACAGAAACATTGTGATTACACGCTAAAACATTGTTTACATCATGTGCTGTATAATACCTGCCATTTTGATCATTAAAGTGATGATAGTCATAGATACTAGATAAGAGGTTAAGGTCTGGGTCTATAATAGTTTGCATAAGTGGACTGTTTTACAGAAAAGTAAAAAATGACAATTATAAAAGAACTAGCTATGAAAAAAAGAATATATAAAACTATACACAATTTTTTTTCCAATTTTAATCCCTCCCTTTCCTCCCAAGAAACAAATTAGAGATCAGCCCAAGCTTTGTCTTGAGGCAAAGCTCAACGCTTTAAGCCATATTGATGCTCTGTCCACAGAGCATTCTCTCTCTCTCAAATCATATGTACTAAAGGTTCCCTACATCACCCCACAACTAGGTGAGTACCGAATGTCTTGTATCCCCCCCCCCCTCCCTTCCCTCCCCGGGACGGCCCACCACCTGTAAACAAACATGGCAGCCAAAACAGATCAGTGGGTGAGGATATTTGAGGTTGAGGAGACCCGCCGCCATACTAAGGGCTACACTGTTTACAAAGTTAAATCCACTGTAAGTTACTCTTATTGAGCGATGTTGGTGTTTATTATGTGAGGAGACTGCTGGGGAGGAGTGCCAGAGGTGGCCATGTAGAGGGCAAGGGAGGAGGCCAGGTTAAAGGTCAGGGGTGAGGGGGAAGGATACAAGTCACATCGAACTTGTGACGATTCTCCAACGGATTTTAAAACCTAGTTCAACCCAACCAAACCAAACCAAACCCAAACCAACCGATCCCAACCTAACACGAGCCCAATCCAACCCAACCCAACCGAGCCCAATCCAACCCAACCCAACCGAGCCCAACCCAACCCAACCCAACCCAACCCAACCCAACCCAACCCAACCCAACCCAACCGAGCCCAACCAAATTCAACTCATCTGAGCCCAACTCAACTGAGACTAACCCAACCGAGCTCAATACTGTAGAGCCATATCTAAGCTAGTAAAGTGTAGCATAATAATATATACGATTTTAACAAATGGAAAACGAGCTTCGTCAAATCGTCTTGCCTCTGAAGGGGTATGGTTGTTTCGGACACAAGACAATTCAATGAAGCTCATTTTCTGTTTAAAACTATACATATTGTTATGCTAGGCTGTATTAGCTTAGGTTAGGTTGTATTACTTTGATATCCTTTTGTTGGCAGCCACCCCCAGGGGAAGGGAGCAGGCCAGGGAGAAGGAACAGGCAAAGGGAAGAGGTCCAGAAGTGGGTGGGTCCAGGAGAAGGGACAGGTGAATAGGTGGATCCAGGTGAAGAAAGTAGGTTCAACCACTATTGAACCAATATGTACTGTATGTCCATACTGTATATTCTGTATATTGTATATTGTATGTATTCATATGTATGTATATAGTAGTAGGCATCCAACAGTCTCTGGAGACTGTGAAGTACTGTATGTATGTATGTATGTTATTACAGTACTGTATTATTATTATTATTATTATTATTATTTATATATATGTTCCGAACCATAATGGAAACTGACCCAACTATGGGATGGGTTAACCCAAGTATCGCATTTCCAAAAGGGTCGCCCGTGTTGAAAAAGACGAACACCGAAAGAATATTGTTGAAAACATCTTGATAACTTATTAAACCAAATTTATTTGTTAGTCAGAAGAAAGAAAGAAACACGATCTATATATAAAACCTCTACCAGACAAATATTTTAAGTAAAACCAAAGATATTTGTAGTTGTATAAAAGTGGCAGTTTTCATGGCTCGTCAAGCTCGAAACCTGCAGCATTCATCTCAGAACAATGCTTATTTCACGCAGATTCCTTAATAAATGTAAGAGTTTTATGTCACAAGAAAGATAGAAATATAATCTTCATTCTAAATACCCTACCATGGGCATATTTAAATTTAAAGCGAACATACGTGTATTTTTATAATCGCCGATCTCCGACCCCGCACAGATCGATCGACCGAGCAACTCTCAGCACAATGTTTATTTCACGTGAATTCGTTAATAAACATATATGTTTTATATGTCTCAAGAAAGGCAGACATATAAGCTTCACTTTAAATACTTTACCATAGACATATTTAAAGTTCAAATGAAGATACTGTACATGTATTTTAAAAATTACGGAGCTCCAACCCCGTACAGACTGAACGACAGAGCAACTCTCTCTCAGATCAATGTTTATTTCACGTAAATTCGTTAATAAACACAAATGTTTTATATGTCTTAAGGAAGATAGAAATATGAGCTTCATTTTAAATTCATTACAATAGACATACAGTATTTATAGCTCAAGTGAAGATACATATGTTTTTATTGTGGCGTTCAGTAGCTTGTCAGGCAAGGAGTGCAGATGCCTACGCACTTGCCGATATATTGTATAATTAACAAAGATACGCTTATAAAGCCTAAAATCTTATATGCCTCCAGAAAGACCGAGATATGAACATTATTATGAGTGCACCAAAGGAAATATATCATGTTGGAGGGCAAAGATATATAAATTTTGAATTAAGTTTCGACTCTTGCTCGGGCGAGAGATATGGGGCAACTCTCGCACCATCTATTGAAGATTCTGTCCACCTAAAGACCCAAAGCTACTCAAACCCTCCTAGCATTACTTAAGTAATGAAGTAATATGGTATATTTACTCACTTTAATGTGGATGTTGAATGCAGAACATAAGAAAACATATATTTACTCCAAAATAATATACAGTACTGTCATTATGAAATAAGTAAATAAGTGGCATCAAAGAAAGTCGACGGTCCAAGCGTCAATGTTGTGGAGCGAGTTATCCAAGATATATCGCAGTCTGGAAAGTGTTTGTTGGCATATCCAGTCATCGCACTCTCTGCTCAAATTATCACAAATTTAAATTATGATGTTAACAGGTAGAATACGTATTTTTAATAAAATCTAACATAACTAGCCAGAAAACATTTAACATTTATTAAAAAATACACGTTTGGAAGTTAAATCGACTTCATATGACAATAGTTTTGCTATATATACTCGTTATTTGTTGATATGCGTTCGCTACTTAACACTTTAGTCCGGGCATGACGCAGCATTGCGTCATCCGTTTACTGTCGGTAATCTCGGGGATGACGCAGCATTGCGTCATCTACTAAAATAATTCCCAAAAATCAGGTTTTTATCCGATTTTTGGGGGACTGTTTGGTAACTGTCAACAAGCCGAATGCAATCTGTGACTACAATACAAACATGAAAGGTGTTGATCACTTTGACCAAATGATCAAATATTATCACTTCATAAGGAAAACTCACAAATGGACGAAGAAAATGACCATCTATTTTGTGCAAATGGCTATCTACAATGCTTATGTGATGTACAACTACTACACAAAAAATACTAAACTATAATACTACATATACTAAAATACTAAATACTAAACATTTGTGGGCAGGAATTGGGAGTGTAGCTGGAAGGCGTCTGGGCGCTCACTCGCGGGTAACGCGTGGCCCATCTTCACCTCGTTGGCGGGTGGAGCGGGACCAGGTTTTTTATTTTATATGCTAATGTTCCTCTAGAGAATTTTATTGCGAACCCATTGATGCCAAAATGAAAAACCTAGGATGAAAATTGAGGTGACCAAAGTGAATAGAGTGAACACATTTTATCGCTTTTGCGCACTCCTGGGTAACTCATTCACACTTTCCCTTGTTTGCTGTGGGTAATTAGCCGGGCTTTTGGAGATTATAGGCATTTAGTATTGTAGAGAATTCTACTGCAAACACAATGAAACCAAATTTAATCTCGTAGGTCGAGAATTAAGGTGACAAAGTTGAAGAGAGTATACACTTTTCGGAATTAACGCGCGCTCCCGTGAAACTCTGGGACCCAAATCGCACAGTTGAGGGGTGGCGGGCGGGGCACGCCAAAGTATTAAACTACCATATACTGTACTTATGTAAAATCTCCCATGTCTCTTCGCTCATCTCACCGAACCCTACAGGCTCTGTGATATATTGTTTAATTAATTGAGATTCACAAATAAAGCTTATAATTGTATATGTTATCAAAAAGGCAGAGAGTTTAGTTTAGTTCATTTATTATGCACCCCATACCCATCCTATGGGCGATAATGGAGTGTTACAGAGGCACATAATGGGCTCAGGGACTGAGCCCCATAATTCTTATAGCTAAGCAAGTTATAATCTTGATGAGCTAGTTACAAAAGTCAATGCACATCGTCACATCAACAATGGGCTCGAGACCGACTACAAGCACAGTTTATAATTTAAGTAACTGACATATATGGAGGGCTAGTGTCAAATTGATATGTTTATCCTACACATAACCCTCAACCACATGCAATGGGCAGCGATGGATAGGTTACAATCAAGTCATTTTTGCGTTTTATTCACAGAGATTAGATCTTATTGGGTGACGAAAGATATTTATATTTTAAAGAAGGTTTCTTGGCTGACACTCTCCATTGATGGAAAATACAACCTTTTGAAAATCAATGTTAGTTTGATCTAGATATTATAATAAATGAAAGTTTTTATGTCATCAGAAAGGTAGAAATATAGGCTACATTTAAAATCTTTTGTCATAAATATAACTGAAGTGAAAGTGAAGATATATGCATTTTGATAGTTACTTGATGGCTAGCTTAGAGAGTGTGAAGCCCTGCACACCAGCCAATAAATTGCATAATTAGTTTCCATATATTTTAATAAACTTTAAAAATCTATGTGTCAGAAGAAAGGAAGATGTAGCCATTAATGTGACAACATTTCAAAAAATATCTCTTGAATTAAATAAATAATACCACCCTATCGCCGGTGTCCGGACACATGAAAACCTCCTTGGTATCAGTGTCTAGCCAGACGGGGGATCACAGGCTGCACAATACTGATAAATTATGTAATGCACAGAGATGCGTTGATAAACATTAACGTTTTATATTTTATTAAAAATACAGATATAAACTTTGTTTTCAAACGTTGAATGTAACAATATTTCAAGTATAAGAACCAAGATATATTTATGATTTAACGATTTTCTGTAAAGTTGCAATGATACCGTAATTGCACTCTATGATCATCATATGACGCAGGATAGATGTCTAGGTGAATTATGGCTGACACAGTCAGTTTATATATGTCAACCACAAGGAGGTAATTATCAAAAGAAGGTGCCAAACCGGGGAAAGTCATCCACAAGTACAGCTCTTAACTTAAGTATAAACCTTATATATTATATATCATGAGAAATTCAGAAACATAAAATATATTTTAAATTTTTGTCATTAAAGTATATATTTTGAACCACATACTCAACCCGTGAGCCTTAGTTTACTGTGCACCCCATAGTCATCACGTCACCCAAGGGGTCCATGTAATTACCCAAAGCTAATTACCCCCAAGGACCAGGCCTCCTCCGGTTTGGTTTTTGGTCCACCAGGCTGTTTGACGCGCTGTCATTTACACACATTACATTTATATGTGGATAACTAATCAATCATTGACTTTAACATTAGTAGCCCAACATCTATAAGGATGATGAAT